ATCTCTTTTTCTTTGCCTCATTTTCTTCCTCCTTACCTCTTACATAATACACACTCATAGCTGTGAAGCAGCCAGTACAGCAGGCATGCAAAAAGGCTTCCTATAAAAGCATTTTGATTCCTTTGGGTCATTTTCCCTATGCCTTTGATGCAGAGATTATAGACTCTTATTAAAATATGAGCACAAAGTTCAAACCCAAGACACTCATAGAGAAGTATATACAGCAAACTATCACCCAAGGCTCCTAATCACTTAAAAAAAAAAACCAAAAAAAACCCACGAAAACCAAAAAACCAAAACACCAGGATATTCACTAATGTGTGCATTCACAGATGTGATCTATACTTGTATGGAAAAAAAAATGTCAGGTGTTATTCTGAAATTTTTCTTGTTACTACTTGATAGATACACAGGGACATTTTTCTTACGAACAAGGAGCTCCGTACTAGATTTCCTATGAAAGGAATTAGATTTGTTTTCTGTTTGTCATTCAATTCCAGACATAATAGCCTTGTACTTACTGTGTATTATAATTATGTAGAGTAAGATTATATGACTTGATTATAACCCTGGTCTGCAGTACAGCCAAGAAAATTTATGCCAAATGGTTTAGTGCGAAGTAAGAGTCCCTGACTGGTAATAGTGAAAAGAGTAAGTATTACTGTTTGGTTTTGGCTTTGCTTGCCTTTCAATTTATGTTGCATGGCACTCAGGTCCAGATAAACAGATGAACTGCTGGGAAAAGTGATGCTAACTTGTTAGGCTATCAGAGAAAAAAAGGCCTTGGATTCCTTTGACCTATTTTTTATTATTTTCAGTATTCCTTAAAGGAAAGAATAGCCAAGCATTCTTAATTTTATTGCCTCTGAAAAATTTGTAGCCTTAATGTAAACCATGATTAGGCTAATGAAGACAGACAACCTGGCTTTAGGATCACCTCAGAACTCTGTGCTTATAGGTAACCAGTGTTGCCATAGGTAACATTCCTATGCAGGCTTGGTTCCACGTGTTATCTTCTCCCTTTATTCTCTGTTATCTTCCCTGAATTTCACTAAGTTCTCAGGTAGCCGTAGGGACTGGAAGAACGCAGAATGAAAAATGGGAAAGATGACTCTAAGGGCAGCTTTGGAGATTCTTTAGACAGTGTAGGTAGAGTCACTGAGGCAGTAGACCAGTCAGTGAGGTAGGAAAAAGTTCCTGAAGCTGACTACTAGTGAGATGATTTTTTTTCCCCTTAGATGCCACAAATTTATAATTCAACATCACTTTCAGTAATATATTAATTATTGCATGGCTGTGCAGTGTGCAAAGGCTGGAAGTTGTATGGAGGATTCTGACCAGTAAAGGTATGACTAGTAAAGAAGTTTCACCTTTCCAACTTGCAGCCAAATATTTCAACCTTTAAAATATCTTTAACCGAAACACCTTATATTTTATCCAGTACATAAAGCAAGAATTTTTCTTTTCCAGCTAGCATCAGTCAAAAGGTAATTTAAACAAGGCAGGTTTGAAAAAAGACAGTGAGATAAAAATATTGATCAGAAATGCATTGTAAGGCTGTAATTCCTGCAGTAAGGCAGGAAATATCTTACACACTGGGAAGATACAACTTGTGTCTAAGGAGGATATAGTAGAAATAATAGAAATCAAGTGTACAGGGGAGGAAATAGAAACAAAAATTACCAAATTGTTGATGGAGAAATGTGTTATTATTGAGGCATTTGCTGGATAATTTCTTAAATTTTAAGTTGATTGTGACGCTTGCCTTCTTCTCGACCTAGACTGGTTCATAGAACTTTCTCATTTCAAATAAGCAAAGTTATTGCCCCCTATAGCTTGTCAGTCATATCCCAAGATTTAAAATCACGATAGCTAAGGAATGCCTTTAATTCCTCCATTTCCAAATTTCTACTACTGAAAAAATCAGTAAATTTGCAGAGAGACTCAATTTAGTATTTGCAGTCATATTGAAAACAGAGCTTGCTTTAGGAAGCCAGCATGCCAGGAATGGTGGGGAGAGGGGAAGCTGAGTGACTCTACCTGCCTTCAGTTTTGGCAGTTTACTGAAGAAAAAAACTGTTTATACTTTTCTAGCCTTTTGGAGTTTAACTTCAAAATGCTATTTTCTTTTAAATCAAGTAGATTTCCAACTCTTCAATCTTTTTAATGTCTTTGAGGTAGAAATTTCTGACACACAGAACTCCTTTTTGCATTAGGGTCCCTGAGATATGCCGAAAAGTACAGCAACTATGAGCCCTATTTTAAGTTAGTATTAAGCAGTTGTAAAAGACTACCAAAGAAAAACCCTTCCCAAAAAAGTCATTTAAATACATCCAGTTTTATCCTTACTTCCTCATTCTTTACCTCTGCCACACCAGAGTCAACCATGAGGTCATAAATATCTAGTTAGATGTGTCCTTGTACTCTTGCTTAGTTCCATCAAGAGTAGTCCCAAATACATATAATCTGTACTGGTTTTTTTGTATCACTTTATTTAGGACTGATATCTAGAGTTTAGGATACTGGCATTAATAAGAGGACTACCTTTCTTTCCATCATGACGGAAGAAAACAGGAAAGTTTTAACAGATTTCTAATAGCAAATCCATGTAACAAAAAAAGGAGAGAAACTCTAGAATCTGCCTAAGTTACTGTCCAATCAAAGCTCTTTTTCTCGTAATATCTAATGAGAAATGCTGTGTGCTTGACCTAATATGTTTGAACCATTACCGAAATCTTTAATTCAGGTGCCACGTCTACTTAGGTGAGAAATACACTGTACAGAGTACTAGAATGTGGTGAATGCATAAATCAGTTTTAATGTGACAGTCCCTTCTTAGGACATTCCCAGCAAACCAGGAACTGCAGCTGCCTGTGGCTGCATGTTCTCAGCTGGGCTTTCCATTGTACCCGGGAGTGAAATAAAACTTAACAGTAACTGGGCTTGGACTCGGCAGCGAGGTTAGTGCAGAGTATTGGATCTGTGAGGAGGTGCAGGCTGTCTCGCTGTCTCTCTCTGACAATGACAGGAAAGTGAGAGAACATCTGTTATTACTCTCTGCGGTCCTGAGCATCTCGGAGGACACTCTGCATATCCATTCTCATTTTAAAAGAGAGTGTCATGACGGATCAGAGCACTGAGATCTAGACGGGAGCCAGGCCGCATTAAAGGCGGATAAACTGTCACACTTGGGCTCATGTTAGAGTGTAATCCTGTTAAGAGTTTCTCTACAGTATCACGTCATCTGGCATAATTGAAAAGAAATCAGTCTTGACTGAAATATGCCTGTGCGAGAGAAAACCATGAACAGTGGGGTACCTAATCTTACTGTTTCTATAAAAGAACAATACAATATAGGCTGTATTACAGTATTACATTTACATATCTTTAAAATTTGTATTCATAATGATAAACAGGATTTTTCAGGGTCTCACTTTTTTATCTCCAGCTGTTTTTACCTTGAATGTGATACCTGATGATGCCCTAAATAAATACAATAATCTGCAAGTGCAAGGTTGAAGGGTTATAACAGTTTAACTCCTAAGGATGCTTTCTACACTACCAGTCCATGGGATTCCCAAAAGTAGCGTGAGGGACATGTTGTAAACTGCCCAGCTGTATCAGACTAACAAGGTTTTATGTACTAAAAGTAAGTTTCTTTCTGAATAACCTGGATGTTCTTAATTTGTTTAAATAAATATAATTATAATAATAATAAAAAATAAAAAAATCAACTGCCATTAAGAAACAAGATTTTTGTTCACTAAAATTCTATTTTCTTGAAATCCTAGCCTGTGCTTTGATCTGGATAAACAAAACCTGGAAAATTACTGTGCTTATGTCTCTGTAATTGAAGACCCTGAGATCTGCACATGCTTTGTACTTGCCAAGGCTGATATCCTTCATTAGGTCCAACTATGCATTTAGAGGGGAGGATGGGGTGAAAATCATTCCAAACAACATATAACAAGACAAAGCATCACACAACAAAGTACCTTTCATTGCATGCTTTAGAGAGAGGAAATGTTGTGTTATAGATCTGAATAATAAATAGTAGCTGTGAACAGGAAACATATGCTTACAAGCTGAAGATACACATTAAGGAACTCACCTATACCAAAGTTAACACATTTGTTTATGTAACCATTCACAGATAACTGTGCAGCAAAATTAAAAGCCATATCTAACCTTTATGGTTTCAAAGGAGCTGTTCTGCAAAACTGCCATAGTTTGAGCTGATCTCCTGAAACAATAACTTAGCAGATGTGAGCCTGTTTCATTTAGTGGAAAGCAAGTTGTGGAATCTATTGACAGCATAGTTCACATCAGAACCAATATCAAGATGATAGTTTTAGCAAGCACATGTCTTACAGCTGGGTATCTTACATTCATGGACTACCATATTTGTTTAAAAGACTCTTCTCAAAGTCTCTAATTCACTAGAGCAAGACAAAATAATCTGGCAGTGTGCATTAATTTGGACAATATATGTAATGGTATTACAGAAATAGAAGCAGAATATTCCAGAGTCTGGTAGAAAATGAAAAAAACGTAGAATATGATTAAATCATACAGCCTGTCAGGCATCAGTGAATAGTAGTCATTGAAGTCGGTGGTTCTGCAAAAGAAAAATAATTACCTGAGCAAAAATTTCCAGTTAAATGGCTTAGGTTTTTGGGTTGTTTTTAGTTCTAAAATTTTAAGCAGATTGTGAGAGGACTAAGACTGGAGGTATAGTATGCAAATGAAAGTAATAGATCTAGCCTTCACTGAAGTCACTGAAAGTCCTTCAGTCATTGCAATGACTTTGCATCAAATCTATTTCAAGACTATTTAGCAGTAATATTAAGCTAATGTTTAATATTAATGCCTTTTTTTCCCTTTTTTTTACCCCGAAATCCATAAAGAGCTCAGACTTAGAATAGTCTTCTAATGGTCCTAATTTTCCCTATTAAACGTTTCATGCTATTAAGCTTTTTCTTTTCTCTTTCCTTCTACAGGCAGACCAGATCTGGCAGATACCGAATATGAGGACTTTGCTGACTTCAGAAAGCTGACAGAAGCCAACAGACTTCAGTGAAATACACCTCCAAGCACAGAGACTTTTGGTAGCTTTAAAGTAACCTGTGGGTCATTTGCAAAGACATGGCTACTGGTTCTTTCAGCACACATGGAGGAAGGCAACAAACATTGTAACCCTGGCTAATAAGACTGTGTTTTCCTTATCAGAAGTAGGAGGCAGGCCAATTATAAAAGGATTATTTTATGCTTAGCCTCCAAAACTTTAACTCTGGCCTGAACACTGGACATAAATAGAAGCCAATTTTAATGACCTGAGATTTTGTTACCTGTGTTACCTATTATTGTTATCAGTTCTTAAACACTTTGGTACTTTATTTCTTTAAATCAGAAATGGGTTTGTGGACTAAAATGTGGCCCACAGATTGGGCTCTTCTCATGAAATCATGGCTTATCTTTTCCCTGGGGCTCTACATGCAGGTCTCCAAAACTCTGGCCTGCCCAAAAGTTTGCCGCTGTGACCGAAACTTTGTCTACTGTAATGAACGAAGCTTGACCTCAGTGCCTCTTGGGATACCGGAGGGTGTAACCGTCCTCTACCTCCATAATAACCAAATTAATAATGCTGGATTTCCTGCAGAGTTGCACAATGTCCAGTCTGTGCACACAGTCTACCTGTATGGCAATCAATTGGATGAATTCCCCATGAACCTGCCCAAGAATGTCAGGGTTCTCCACCTGCAGGAAAACAACATTCAGACCATTTCACGTGCTGCTCTTGCTCAGCTTTTGAAGCTGGAAGAACTGCACCTGGATGACAACTCCATCTCCACTGTTGGCGTTGAGGATGGGGCATTCCAGGAAGCCATCAGCCTCAAGCTTCTGTTCTTGTCGAAGAATCACTTAAGCAGTGTGCCAGTAGGCCTTCCACTGGACTTACAAGAACTTCGCGTAGACGAAAACCGAATTGCCGTCATTTCAGACCTTGCCTTCCAGAATCTTACAAGTCTGGAGCGTCTGATCTTGGATGGCAATCTCCTCACTAATAAAGGCATAGCTGAAGGCACTTTTAGCCACCTCTCCAAGCTCAAGGAATTCTCAATAGTTCGGAATTCACTGACTCACCCTCCTCCCGATCTTCCAGGTACACATCTGCTAAGACTTTACTTGCAGGACAACCAGATTACCCATATACCACTTACAGCCTTTTCAAACCTCCACAAACTGGAACGTCTTGATATTTCCAACAATCAACTTCGGATGTTGGCAAAGGGAGTATTTGATAATCTCCATAGTTTGAGACAACTCACTGTAAGGAATAATCCCTGGTTGTGTGACTGCAGCATTAAGTGGGTCACTGAATGGCTCAAATTTATTCCTTCTTCCATCAATGTCCGTGGTTTTATGTGCCAGGGACCAGAGCAGGTCCGAGGTATGGCAGTCAGGGAGCTCAATATGAATATGTTGTCATGCCCCACCACCACTCCTGGTCTGCCACCTATCATCACCCCAGTCCCAGCTACAACCATGCCAACTACATTAGTTCCCAGCCCATCATTTCCTTCCTCAAGTAGTAAATATATTCCTCTCACTCCCATCATAGCCACACTCCCCACTGTGCCTGACAGGGAGGACAGAGAAAGGGTGACACCTCCTTTGTCTGATTGGATTCAGCTCTCCATCCACTTTGTGAATGACACTTGTATCCAAGTCAACTGGATGTCACTTTTTACCGTGATGGCATATAAACTCACATGGGTTAAAATGGGCCATAGTCTGGTAGGAGGAATTGTTCATGAACGAATAATTAGTGGTGAGAAGCAGCAATCGAGCTTGGTAAATCTGGAGCCCAAATCCACTTACCGGATTTGTTTGGTTCCACTGGATACTTATAACAACTACCGGACTGGAGAAGAAACTGTCTGTTCAGAAGCCACAACCAAGGCTTCCTTTTTCAATGGCAGCAACATCCCTTCCAGCCATGAGCAGACAACTTCTCAGAACCTAGGCTCCCCATTTCTACTGGCAGGGTTGATTGGGGGTGCAGTGATATTTGTCCTCGTGGTCTTGCTCAGCATTTTTTGCTGGCACATGCACAAAAAAGGTCGTTACACCTCCCAGAAGTGGAAATATAACCGGGGCCGTCGGAAAGACGACTACTGTGAGGCAGGGACCAAGAAGGACAACTCCATCCTGGAGATGACGGAAACCAGCTTCCAGATTGTCTCCTTAAATAATGATCAGCTCCTTAAAGGAGATTTCAGACTGCAGCCCATTTATACCCCAAACGGGGGCATTAACTACACAGACTGCCACATCCCCAACAACATGCGATACTGCAACAGCAACGTCTCAGACCTGGAGCACTGTCATACGTGATAGTGAGGGACCATGGGGGTCTCTAGGACAAGGAGAAAAAACTCTAGAAAAAATAAGCCCCCCAAGAATAATGAAAAAAATTACATTTGATAAATGTTACACAGATGCATTTATGCATTTGAATACTCTGTAATTTATACGGTGTACTATATAATGGGATTTAAAAAAAAGTGCTATCTTTTCTATTTCAAGTTAATTGCAAATGGTTTTGTAACTCTTTGCTTTTTAAATCTTTAAAAACTATTGCTGAGTACTGTACAGGGTTGTACAATAAGAACCCAATGTCATGGCAAAGGAAAGAATGACTCATTCTTCAAACATTAACCACTTTGCTGTCGAAGCAGTCTGAGGGATGTTAAGTTTCTAGGTGGCCTGTAATACAGGAAAATAAGTGCATATTAAAGCAGGGTTACTAGGAACAGATAAAAGCAATTCAGATAAAATGGGCACAACCCTTCTGACTTGAACCCAGCAGTTGCTGTTGGGCTTCAAACAATTGGAAATATATCCCTCCCTCTTTATCAGGTCTGCACTTCTCACCTCCAACTGAAAGCTGGAGTTCTGAGTGCTGCCAAAAAAGCTACTCTCTTGTTTGATTAGCTTCTTTCAATCTATTTGGAATAGGAAACATGGAAAGAACTCAGTGTCAAAATGACCTTGATTCCCATTTGCAAAAGTTGCCCCAAAAATGTCCCCAATACTACCAATACTATATACTTTATCTCAGAAACTGTTTGCGCTTTTCAGTAGGATTAAGAAGCTTTAGGCATTCTCTGACCCTTCTCAGTGGGAGGTGAAGGTTATGTAACAGTACATAACAGAGAGCTGTCATTAAGTTGCACCTCTCAATAGAGCATCATTTGTTGACAGCATGTTCAGGTAAGGCCAGAATGAGGGAAGTTCTGAGTGCTCCCAGCTCTGCAGTATTCATGTATGTGTTCATGTAATTTGAAATCTAAAAGTGCATATTGCTGAAAATGTGGTGCAAAATATAATGGCAATGCAAAGGTTTTGCTAATAATGTGTATGGTTCAAGCCTTGTTTGACCTAGGGAACTGAGTTATGTTCAGTATGGAGAAATAGGAGAAAAAAAAGACAAAAAGAAAAAACAAACAAGAAATATATTGTAAAAACTTATTTAGTACTGGGAAGACCTTGAGGGCTATTATAAACTGAAATATCTTCAGTGGGGAAAATCATGTACAAATCTTTGTGGGTTTTGTTTGTTTGTTTGTTTTGCTTTTTTTCCTTCCCAATTAAAGTATACAGAGACTGACATTAGCTAAGCATTTGATTGACTGGGGAATTTTGAGAACACAGGTACACAGTGTCCCTCTGAATTACCCTTCTTTTACCTTAAGCATTTTCAAGTTTTCCGTAATGATTTCTGCTCCACAAGCAGAAACTGCATTTAGAATTTGTTTTTTTATACCCTCAGATTCTTCTCAGTCCTTGAGCTTTACATGCACCATGCAAAACATCGTGCTTGTTGTTAAAACCATAATGCAGCTCTCAAAATTATGTAATATTTCAGCCACTCTGCAAACTCAGTGACTGCCAAGAACTGTGGTGAAATCTAATTATTTGGGAGTTTTTCAGTTTGCTTTTTTATATTTGGGGGTTTTTCAGTTTGCTTTTTTAATGTAGCTATTTTTCTCCTGAGTTTGGAGACAAGCTAAAGCTACATCACATCATGAAAAAAAAAAAAAAGAAAAAGAAAAAATATAGACAAAACTTCCCAGAAGTAGTAGGGAACCAAAGAGAGAAAGTTTTACAGTGATCACGAAGCAATAGAGAGAAAGTTGCTGCATGTGGATTCGAAGTAAAGGCTGAAGCACCTTCACAGTGGAATGCTTAGATTTGTCACTTTATGAAGCTCCTTATGCTGGAAAAAAAAGTTTTAATCCTTTCCTTCAGTCATTTTACTCAACCCATTCTTGGAACTCAGCAGTCTATGAGCATGTATTTTCTGTAATTCAGATCACATGATAACACTAATTGTCTGCAATGACAAAATGAACCCAGTTATGATTGATGGCAAAGTACCATTTTGTAAGGAACCACTTCCTCCCAGCAACACCTTTTAAAATAACATTTTGAAATTCCAGTCTATATTCTATATATTGGCTATTTTCTCCAGCTATAGTGGGTATTCTAAGCAACCTGTGTGGCTGCTGTCATAGTTATGTCACTAAAATTTGTCTGATTAAAAGTTTACCATATGATTTCAAATAGCATAATTCTAGATAGAAATATCTATGCAAAGTGGTGAGGTTTTTTCTGTCATCTATTTACTGATGATAAGGTTTATACTTTTGGGCTTTGGTTTTTTGTTTTGGTGGGGTTTTTTTGTTTTTTTTTTTAATTTGTTTTGTTTAACATATTTTAGATGCCGCAGCTCAAAAGACAAGCAGCAAACAGTTGTGCTTTTGCACACTTCTGTTGAATTCTGGAGTTTGCTTGAAGTTAAGCAGAGCCAGTGATTCCCATTGGGTGTGGTCATAGTATTTAATTTCAGTGAAATAACTAGTTGTACATTTGGTTTCAAAAGGCCTCCTTTGAAAGTACAAGCTGATTAGTATTTACTGATGCAGGAGGAATCTTCTGTTCTAAACCTCAGTTTACTATAGGCACCTTATTTTTAGCAATATTCAGGGATTTTGGCGTGTACTGCAGGTGGATGATCCACAAGCCCAGCCTCATGACAACAAATCTGGTTACTTATAGAATAGGGTGAAAAGGGAAGGCATTCACAAACTGATCATTTTGCTCTTGAATGATGAAACATATATATGTATGTATATATATATATATATATGTAGACTATGACTCGCTTACCTAGATCAAAAATCACAGTGATATTAAAGATAGCCTACTTTATGTTTCTCTTCAGTATGAAAAAAAAATCACTTTGTATGTGATACCAACAAAAGTTTCTTTACTTTAAAGGCTCTTCTGAAAAAACATTGCTAGGGCCTTATACCAAAATTTGTGGATAGAGCTGGGAATATTATCTAAAAAAGTTCAGAGTTGTAGTCAACTGAAAGGTCATATCTGTAATTTGAAGAATGTTTCTCCCTATTTAATTGTTCCTTAGCTCCAAAAGGGTTAATGTATTTCAACCTACAACAGAATTTGGGACTGCTCAAAGTGTCAGCCACACACACATCTGAATTTTCATTTCAGTTCTCACCTAGATAAGCACTTAGCAAGCAAACTTCACTAGGTAAAGTATGTAGAAAAAATCAGTTAAAAATGGACAACAATCTCTTGGCAATATAAAGTTTAAGACTAGTGGCTTTTTCCTTGGGCTTTTTAAAACTTGGTTGATCTTCACTTAGGGCAGGTATCCGACCACATATAATAACTGAAGGCTATAGAGCAGAAGTGCCAAATCTGAATATGTGCAACTCACTCAAAATGTTCACTTTTAAGTCCTGATTTGATCAAGTTCGTTGGATCTAGGGACAATTTTTTTTCAGTTAAAATCTCACCCATCTTATGTTGTATACTGCTAATAGTTGACACAGACATGCAGAAAGATTGGCGTAGAATAAAATACGCATTTGAGTGAAATTGTGTTAAAGAATTATCATGACACTGCTGTTCCTAGTACTTGGCTTCCTTCTGAAAACGTATATATTTACAAACAGGTCCTTATTTTCATGGATTCTGTCACTTTAATAAGTGCTACTTGCATGTGGCTTGCTGGCAGAAACAAACACCAGATTAATGCATGGACTTTGTGTTAACAGGTTCTTATTGGAACATTATTACTGAATTTCTTTATAAGAATATTTAGGGAATAAGCTACTTTGATCTGGAAAGATACCAGCAGTTTTCCATGTAACCCAATAAAGGACTACAGTGAATATCATGAAAAATTAAAAAATTAAGTAGCATATGAAATTTGCTACTAGAGTAATTCAACTATCTTTTTCTCAGAAGAAGTTTCATTTTTTCATGAGAACAAGTTTCTCCCTCTGAAAAATTTATTAATTTAAATTTTGCAAACAGAAAAACTTTATGCATAGTGATATTATTGTTTTAAGGGTCTACATAAGGCACTTTATTAAAGGCATTGAAGTGAAAGTTCAGTCTCAGCTTTTGACAGTAAAGTGGTTAATTCCCATTGAATTCTACATTTATAGTACTTCTTCACCTTAAATTTAACATGGAGATATTAAAGTTTTTTTCTTTAGAACATGAGAAAAATGGTTTTACACATGACTTATCTTTACAGCTCAGTGGAAAAACAAAACAGAAGTGAGTGCCAAAACCAAAAGTTACTGGCTCTGAACCTCATCAAATCCTGCCTGATGCTCTCTTCTAAACACAGAGATAATCCTAGGAAGCTGATGATCACTCCTTCCCTGAACTCTATTGAACAGGGCACTTTGTATCCCAGATGATACTACAGGCAATATTGAAGCATTTGGCATTAAACTTTTGTACAGCAGAGAATGTTTTACTCTTTAAAAGGACGCTGGCTAGTAGTCCATATGGAAAACTAGCACAGAAGGGATTTGGCAACCTTTTATTACACTGGGGCTCTGTGGAAATGTGCCTCATGAGAGCTGAATTCTGACCCTCTCAGAAACAGATAAGCTACTAAACAAATTGTTATCAAGAGTTGATATCCCAAATATCTGAAGGTAATCTTTCATAAAATTGATTTAAACTGAGATATGCACACTTGATTCTGTTCTGTGTTTGGTATACTTTCTATCTTTAACATGGAAAAATAGATGGTTTGAAGTCTGCGTTACCTGTTTTCTGCAATCTGCCATGTTGCACGCATTGTTAACTTCAAAACCTCACTATACACTATATATTATCTTGTTGACATATTCAGTAAAGAGTTATTTAAAAAATACAACAACTTTGCTGTATTTATATTAGCAAGCTAATTAAAATATGGATGGGGGTATCTGAAAGGGACAAAAAACATCCATTTTCTGTACTTTCATTCATGGAGATATTTTCAGATGTTCTACTGAAACTTCTGTCTGTTCAATCCTCTCTTCAGCTTCTAAAAGACAACTAATATTTGTCTCTCAAAGAGTTAAATAATTTTTTACCTCATTTTCTCAGATTTATCTTTAAAAAGTTATCTCTTTCTAATATGCATATAGAAAAGCAATGTAAAATGAGAACAGACTGTACTCCAGTGTTTGCAATTAATAGGTACACTTAAAGAGCTAGACATGTCAATAACAAATATATATATATATGTGGAAGCTGTGACTCATTATATGCATAGCCAGTTGATAAATGCATTTGACATTTATGACATGACAATCATGAATCTGGTTTTTAATTATTGTTATCTATTTAATCTGTTTCCTTGACATGAAATATGACTTTTTTTTCCGATTCGTCTTTCAAAATTGTTATTGAATTTTCAGAATGCACAACATTAATACATAAGCCTTAATAAATTTTTGTATAGAGCAAATCTTATACATAACATATATGGTAATATATACTATATATAAAGAAATGATTTTGCTACTTAGAAATGGAAATTGCCCCTCTTCTACTTCTTCTATATACAAGAACTAATTTTTTGCTTTACTAGAAAGTAAGATGCTGAGTGCTATTTTATTTCAAAGCTTAGAAATTTAATATTTCTGAATGTCACAGTTCCTCCACAAAGTATCTTACTCTCTTAACTCATAGTATCATGTAGAACTACCTAGGGCTGGTGTGCAATATATCCTCACCTAGTCCTGCCTCTTTCCCCCTCTAATATGCCTCCCCTCATTTGATGTTTCTGGTGAAGCACATTAGATCCTGATAACTAAACCTACTTGCCTTACCACAGGAGAGTGGACAATAGAGATAATGAGAATGACAAATGCCCACCATCAGTTATGTATTTCTGACAATGAAGGAATCATCATTTTCAATTGTTAATACTTTCTTTCAAAAAAAGGAACTTACAACCATTGACTTCATCAGGTAATATTTTAATAACTCAAAATTATTTATTGTAGCAAAGATAAAACTTTATTTTCAATACTTTCAAGCTCAATTATCTGGAATTTTTCATGCATGTGCAATTGTGTATCAATCTGTTGTGTGTAGAGGATTTAACTGCAGAGATATCTGAAAGAAAGCACATGGAGGAGCATTTTTCATTATTGTTCAGTCAAAAATTTTAATATTCCACTTTAAAAAGAGTTCTTCCCTTGAAGAAGAGTTATGATACCACATGGGGAAGGTACCACATTGAAGAAGAGTTATGGTACCGCATTACACCAATAAAGTATGTAAAAAATACTTTGATTCTACTTGAAATGCCACTGTCAACAAAGGCCGAAACTAAAAATTACTAAAATACTTCCATTACACAGAGAGAGACTTGGTGAATTTTTTACCAGTAATTCCTGAAACAAATTAGCACATTTTTATAGTGAAATCCTGACCCCACTGCCTTCAACTATAAACCACAATAATATATAACAGAAGGATTATTAAAAACATACAATATGACACATTGTATAGCACCTCACACTATGTATCCCCAAATGAACTACATCAACTGAATAAGGCAGAAGGCCCATACCTCTTTTATGAAAAGCTGAGAAAGCTGTGAAAAAGACTTAGCAGAAAATGAGGGGGGAGCTAAGTATGCTCTGAGCAACACTGGCCAATATAAAGGCATGGAAAATAAGGACATTAAAAGCCACAAAGGGGCCAGTGGGCATAGCAAAAATATTCTTTTTTCACATAAACATGTGTGGGTTTTTTTTATTATAACCTCATATTATGGCTAAATTGTGACTGAAAAACGCATGTATGAATACTGAGAAAGAAAAAAGAAAAGAAGAAAGAATGGAAGAGAGAATGTTGGTTTGACTAGAAAGTCAAACAATTTAAATGGAAGTCTTATAATCCTGACCTCATGGATTTTCACAAACTGCTTCAGGCATTCACAGATCAGGAACCAATACATAATTCATTGCTCTCTGACTAACAATGCAAATGATAGGAATTTCTCCTCATTTAGAAAACATGTTAAGAAAATTTGAGAGGTGATGTGAAGTCAAGTTCTGCAGTATATGCTGATATGAACAATGATATTTATTCAAGGAGAGCATTAGCATACGTTTTTAAGTGAGGACTGCAGAAGCAAGGCATGCACATTATTTCATTTTGAAGAAAATACTATACCTGACAAAAAGCACATATGGGTTATCAAGAATAGATTACTTAGAAAAATAAAGTAGAAACCTGAGTAAGGAGGGATATTCCATATTATTGCAGTTCTTTTAGTAGTATACAGGTAAGCACTTTAGGCAATTAAAAGAAGGGTTCATAAAAGTATTGAAGGTTTTCATATTTCCCATCCCTAGGAGGATATAGTTCATTTTCAATTCAAAAGAAATTAGATTAGATAGCTTTTTACTTACATTTTTGTTGGAGGTTAGTTTTGAAGTCAGCGTTTTCTTTTTTTTTTTTTAGTTGGTCATGATATTTATTTGAAGTCTTTTCATGCACTGATTTCTTTTATCAGCTATGAAGATTTTGAGAAATAGACTACTATACGTGCAATACTTGCTTTCATAAGAAACAAGTAGCAAGTATATGTCTAGAGTTTTCTGATTTGGTTTTGGCCTTCCTTTTTGTAATTTAACTTTACAAAAATGAAGCGAATTTGAAGTAAAGCAATTTTAACTATTTTCTGCTGTAATTACAGCAGTAAGACAGTGTTGTCTTTCTATCAGAAGACAAAATTCAAGAATACTGAGTAAAGAAAAATAATCTTAAAGAATTTTTATATCAATTTTCAGTTTAAATATTTTTCAACATTTAGGTACAATAGTCATGGTGAGAATTTGAGCTAGAAACACTGAGTAACACTGACCAAACTCAGGTTTGTGGTCATAGGAACTTTGGGTTCATAGGTTCAGTTTTACAGATTATTATTAGCAGCTGCACAAAGGAAAGGGAACAAAGGTTTCTTCTACTTTGAAGTATCAGATTCCTTTCTGTAGAGATGGAGGAGGAAATACAGCTACTTCACAGAGATCTCCCTCAAGAAGCAAGGTGACCAGAACAATAGGAAAGTTCATGCAGTCATGGAATTTCTCTTTGATGACTACTGAAGCTGGCAGAAGTAGAGCTGAATCATATTATGAGGGATGCAGCAAATTACAGGCATTCTGCATTATCATGTAGGATATCTGGTTTGTCCAGAACCCTACTAAAGGTGTCTTCACTGAGGTCCATGCTCTTGGAGGGCTTGTGTCAAAAGGTAAAATCCATGCCCATATAAAAGCAAGGAAGCATCTGGGTTTAACTTTGTTTGTGCATCTTTAATTACTCTTTGCTGTAGGTTCTAGAGTGCCAGCTGCACCACAATGTTCAAGAAGGAGTGTGCAACAAGGCAGGTTTGAAAAGTCACATTTTTTGATGACTCTCCCTTTTATCAATACAAATAATAATAAGGTCCTTGCAGGCAAGATTCCAATCCACAGCAGATGTGATTGATCATTGTGCTGGCCATCAGATCAGACACAACTTTCAGGGTTTTTATTCCCTTATTTATTGGCAGATTAATTCTTTCCTTGATACCTAAAACTGAGCAGTTTGTACTATTGTTTATATGTCACAACACAAGGAAAAGGTTTATGAAAAAACATTGTACCTGCAAACTCTGATGATTGCCCAGAAAAGCTAAGCTACAGAAATGCTGCCAATACAGTGAACCATTTTTCATGAAGTCACATCTTCTACTGTGATATCAATTCAGTTTATAGCCAGACTATGAAAAATCCAGAGGCACCAATCTCATAATTTCTGTTGCTTTTACCTCATTTCCTTTATGTTACATTAACCTTCTCTAGCATGATTGGCTTACAGGACAGATTGCTGCTTAATGTCTCCTATGGTTATCTGATTTATTATTCTTTACATTTAAGATTAAATCAAGAAAAAATAAGCTCTTTCTTTTCTGATTGTCTGCATCTTTGAGCTGCTCTAGCAGTAATTTACTTTGTGCCTCTCCCCTGCAGTATTGGTTTCTCACCATTTTACACACACAAAAGACACACACACATAAACGTGCACAATCACACTATATTTATACATTTTTATGTTTATATATATTCAAATATACAAATATATAGACAGATAGAATGCATATCTGTAGTATAATTATGGATTGATCTATGTTGAGTACTCTACTGATCTTTTGATCTGGATTTTTACATGAATTCCGTTCTACTTTAGTTTGTTCAAGAGAGTAAAGAGGTAGAGTAGCATGAACTTTTTTTTGAAGCACTGTAATGTCAGTATTAGTAAGAGCATGTTTTTCAACAGTTTATGGGCTTTGACAACCTATACACTAAAACCTGAAAATTACAGAGAAGAATATCACAGCTCCTGGAAGCAGACAGTGTGCACCTTTTGGAATACACTTTGGAATGCACAAAGCACATCTGAGGAATCAGTTTATAGCAGGACTGTTCTGTGTGGTCGCTAAGTAAAGTGTAGACAGAGAAGAATGTGAAAGAAGGCAGTATGAAACTGAAACCTAGTATGAACAAGAAGGGAAAAATTCAGATATTTCTACATCATTAGCATTAATGTTGACTTTCTATGTAATTTTTTTCTCTGTGGTCTATATTTCTTTCCCTGTATTTGACAATTTTTCCTTGTTATAGAACCTGTCTTTTAATTCACTCTTCACTTTCTGCTTCATGAAGAATCTGATTTTTCTACAGGATTTTTGTGGAATGCCCCAAATGAGCACTTCTGTTATACATGAGCAAATGCATTTGTGTGCAGCAGCCCAAAGGGAGTTTTCATTGCCACTCATCCTCCTTAAGTCATTAGTCTGTTTGAAAAAAATCTTTCTGAGAAGAGCCATACAGGCAGTCTGCTATTGCAGGAAAACTTAGAAATTTGGTGGGTAATATTATTTTAATGTTTTACTTTGCAGTAATAGTAAATGAACTGGTATAAGTAGTGAAGTTCCTTCTAGTTTATGAAGTTCCACTAACAGACTACTCTGAACATCAAAGCTGTTTTAGTATTTGAAGCAGGTGTAGAGGCAGAGAGATAGATTTGAAAGACAGAAATCCTGCAAATAAAAATGACTTCTAAATAAATATGGGCCAAAATAAAAGAGTTCTTTTTAGAAATAGGGTGCCACACAATTGTGGTAAATATAAAGATGCAAAACTTTCTGCTATTTTTTCTCTATTTGTGGGATTCAATTAGGGTTGCTGCTTATTTTAAGTGACTAAATTAGTACACCATTAGAAAATCTTTGCCTGCGTTGAAAAAAATTCTTTGTTTCATACATTTTCCATTAAAAATCTGAATTTTCTTTTTGCATTTTCTTCCCCAAATTAACTAGTGTC